CAGTGATCTGCGGTTGCTTCTTGATTACAGGCGAATTTATTTTGAAAAGCTGTGGTTGAGCGAGGTTTTCGAAAAAAGAAGAGCGGTTCTGGTCAGTTTGTATTTAAAATCTTTGCAGTTCACAGGGGTCTTTTTGCATGAAAAAACTAAAAAAGTAATTCATTTCCGGTAAGGCAACCTTGTACGTATACAATTCATTTCAAACTGTGCTAGGATCTCATGTTGGATGTGTAGCCAATAATACTATTGCTATGAACAGTCGGAGTACTAATACGGCGGAGTCAGAATGGAACCTTGCCGCTGAAACCCTATATGTCTACCGTATTGACCGAACGGTTCATCGCTACACTTCACGAGCCACAAACGTAAAAGGTAGTGTCTACACAATACGCCGAGGTTCGATTACATATACTGTAGACGAATCCGTAATACATTCTGTCATTCACTACTAATTCCTCATATATTGATACTTACACTACTGCAAAGAAAACGATGACTGATGTCTCACTTTCCACAAATTAGCATCATCTAGCATCAGGAATGTGCGGGCTATATTATGCCTCATTATGAAAGGTTTTGATTATTTTTTAGAATTTCTCAAAAACTGGTTTTGCAGAGAACCGAGACTTCAAGAGCCATGGGCAGAAATCAAATCATTAGTCTTTTGCGCTTCACTTGGCCTTTCGAATGGCGTAAGAATGAAGGCGCTAGTTATTATGTGTAGTGTACATGTACGAGACAACGACTGAAAATGCCCTCCTCACGTACCTTTTAATCCTAAATGAATGTTCACCCTTTAATGTATCGAGTTTCTTACTGATAGAAGAAAATTAGCATAAAAAACTCTTATCCATTTTAAAAAGCCTAAACTTCCAGTAGAAGAATATGCAGGTCGTGAGCGAGCAACGGTTCTAAAGATAAGAACATATTTGCATTTCTGTGTCTGGTCACAACAAATGACACACAAAATACAGTTTTTTATTAAACCCTGAAGAAGAATTCAAAACCGGTCAGGTTAATAAAATATAAAGAAAATGAATTACTACTCACAACTGTTCAGGCTCAAAAAATAGATACTCTATACCAGTCAGAGTTTAATATATAATTTTTCCTTTTCTCTCCTTCATACTATAATTCATCTTCAAACTTCAAGGAATACCACTTTTATTTTTCCTAAAAGGTTTTTCTAACCGAAATATTCATTTGTTCTATGTCCAAGAGAGATTGTTCCCGGTAGCCATCCAAGAATAGCATTTAGCAGAAAAAGTAAGATGGTTAATTCAACGAAAAATTACTGTCTAATTATTTAGTAACTATGATTCTCTTTGATGAATAACTCAGAGCAAATACGAGCTCAAGGAGGCGGTAGTTTTTGGTCGAATTATTAGCATTCATAACACGTTAAGACAGCGATAAGTCAATATATTACGATCAAAATTCAAACAGACATATTTTTCTTCGCTTTCCAACACTAGTGGAAAGCAATTGGTATTTTTTTTTAAGTGATAGTGGAAAATAAAAATTGATTTTACCTTATTCTTGCAGGTCTGGACAAAAAACTCGTGATGCAAAAAATACCTCCGATCACTTCTTTCTCGATCGAATATATCCATTTGGCTCAGAAAGGAAAAATTTTATTGAATTTAAATACATCTGATAGTGGAAATTAGTTTAAATTAATTTATTTCAGATGAATCCGAAATATTTTTATCCTTGAAATTAATTCAAATTAATTTATCAGCGCCGTAATTGCTGTAAAATAAATTATTTTAAACGTATCTTCATTAATTTCGACTTACAAAATTAATTATTTTATCCAAAAATCTATTATAAAAATATTTATTTAAATGAATTTGAGGGTAGAAATCAATGTGAAGCAAGTTAAAGTAGGAAACCATTTTTCCAACTATTGATTCGTGTGGCTAAACTTCCTTATGTTTTTATAAGTGAATCACAACTGGCTGTATCTTTTAAAAAGTGTAACAGTCACGATGTGTAACATTTTTGAAGATGGCAAAAGAACATCATCATTCCAGCCACTGCGGTATTTATACTCACATTGTCTGACACGGTAACACTTCTTTCAAACGAATTAGATTCAATGAAAAACATGAAATTGTGAAATTAAGAAATTATATTATCAAACAAAAGTTTTTTGATTTCCTGCTCGGGATAATTTCAAACTATATCCCGTTCAGGGTATTAAAAAAGTTTTGATGTTGTAACAAAAATACCCTTATCATGTCTCCGTACTGTCTAGTGTTCCATCAAATATTTCCAGACGAGAAGTATACTCATCAAGCCACAGTGCTAGAACCTTTCGTCAGTGTCTTTTTTCTATTCCATCAGATCGAATCATTTAGATATAAGAATAAACTTTTTCTGTATTCGTATATAGCTGACTGTATGTTCTTTGAAGTAGGAGTGCAGCTATTTCCAGAGTTAAAACCGGCTGTCTGTTCTTCATCATCGCACACTGAACTATAGATTTAAATTGAAATCTGCGTCTTTTAAGGTTGATTCCTGACAATTTGATCTCTCAAAGATGTTTGCCTGTACTGACATTTTTTCTATAATGTTGCATATACTTTTAACATTAAAAAAAAATCAGTAGGAATAATACTGTGTGCATCAGCATATTTACAGTAAACAGTATGCCATTTTTTTGTTTTTCAAGTTCTCGATTCAAAATTTTAAAAAATTTCAGTTTGACAAATTTCGAATTATTTGCAGTAGGGTTTAAATTCTTCATCGGTTTCATAGGCTGGACATGAGCAGGAGAACGATTTCTTTTCTCTGTCAGTTGTTGGTATGCATCCAGCACATATAAAAGCATCTGTAATACCACGACCATCACCTTTACATGGTATTTGCAGCCATGAACAACCAGACTCAATCCATGGTCCAGTAATATCATAATCTATAAAGAGGTAAGACAGAATTTACGGTACAAAGGTGGGAAATGCAGTGAGTTTAACTTACTGCGGAATTTCCCTTCTGATTCGGACAATATTTCACCTGCAACACGACGTGCGACAACTCGAAAACTACCAGTTGTTCTATTTCGTTCATAGCATAATGGTACATCCCATGTTGTCGTCCATTCAAAATTGACATATGCTACTGAGCATGCAGTGACATTTTTACCTGTATTACAATATTTCTCTAAATCGATTTTTGATAATCCATCTGGACATTGATGTGTATCTCCTAAGGTTATTCTATCACCTATTTCATATGCCGGTTTATCGGCACCATAATAATTAGTACGAACGCCGTATTGTGCCAATCTTTGTAGTAGACTCGTTCTTTGTGATGTAATCTGATCTACTTCGGACATACGAGCAATATTCGATGCATTTATACGTATAGTCATTGCTTTTCGTAAATTTTTCTTAATATTCACATCTGAGATAACATCATACCATGGTATATATTTTATTACTTTTAATAGAGCTGGATCGAGAGCAATTGTTTTCGTCCACAATTCTATATCCTGAATTTCAATATTACCTCCAACAAGATGATCGATAGCTAATTTTCGTCTTGATAAATAATAACTGTTACATGGAGATTGTGATAATAGATCTTCTTTTAAATTCTTTTCAATTTCATCAATTGACATACCACCAGTAAAATACGGTGATGACCAAATACACTTTTTCAACGTGGTTTGCTGTTCTTTCATACCACCAATTTCAGTTGAAACAGCTAAATGTGTTCCCCATACATCCATGAACGACGTATAAATTTCTTCATGATAAACTTGTGTTAAACCAGTGATAGCAGCTTTTGCATATTTATTTAATACTAAAGATGATGGAGTATCAGCAAACTTCATAGTCAATGTATATAATCTAACTGGGTTTTGTGATATTGATGTTGCTTAATTTTCAGTGAAAAACTTAGTATAAAGATCTATTACAGTTTTTGCATGTCCAAATTCTCCACCCGTCCAATATCCATCATCAGCATTACGAGTCCACACGTTAACTAAATCCATTTCCGTCTTGAATATACGTACCGTTGGTTTATTTTCATCTTCAGATACATTTTTTAATAGAACTTCATTTGGAATAATAAAAGGTTGTTTCGAGTATGAATCAGTCCATAAATTCTCAGCACCATCAGAGTAAGTTAATTGAAGTGCAGGTAATGTTATAATGCCTGTACTTATGTCAATAGTCATTCCTACTCCTCGTGGTAGTTTATCAGGCGGAACAGGTGTGGTTCGTTTTCTTCTTTTTTTATTAGTAGTTTCATTTACACCTGGACAATAATGAGCATTTTTATAACCGACCACTGGACATAATGCTTCACGTGCTTCAGTTAAATTAAAATTATTTTTGGAAACTGCTCGTTTTTTACGTTTTTGTGGTACACAGGTAAGAGGTGGTGGATAATGAACTGATGACAAATGTTCAATATATATCTGTGAACGATTAACAGCATTTGAATGGAAATATAATGTAGCATTTTTTAAAGCATTACGTAGCGGTGAGCTTTGTGGTAATAAAGTATATATAGGTGTTAGACGATATGTGATTGGACGTGGGTTATGTTTTACTGTCGGTATCCATTTTTCTAATTCTGTTAGATTAGAGGATACCATACCGCCAATTATTGTAACATTATATTGAGAATATTGTTGGAATACTCGATCAGTATTTTCATAAGCAGTATTCTCTGTATATGTGTTTTTAAAGAGCCATAAATTACGAGTTTCAATTTGACGTTTTATCCACTGCGCACTATAAATAGAGAGAAGACAACTTTCATACCAAATTTCAGCTAAAATTAGACCACCCATATTGGCATCCATAACTATATGAGTTCCAAATGAATCAAAAAATTGTTCCCATTTACTTATATTCTCTGGATCAAAAGTGTGTGGTAATTTATCAAATGATAATTGAGTAATACTATTAAAATTAGGAGAAGGAAATATTGAAGCAGATAATTTATACCAATTTATTTCCTTTACAGTTAAAGCTAAATTATAATAATATTGATTAAATTTACGATACGTTGTATCAATTTCTGAGCGTTCATAATGAGAAAACAAACCAAAAAGGATGTCTGAATCTTTTTCGGTAATTTGGAAATTTTTATACCATAAATCATTAAATGAATCGTACTGTACAGTTTCCGTAATTGATAATGAATCTGACGTACTAATAAGAAAAAAATTATTAGGTATTTGATAAGTTAAAGTGCGATTAAATGGATCAGTCCATGTATTTCCATCCGATATACTCATGTCTAACAAACATGTTTTACTTTCCAACGTAAATATATTATATCCACAACCGACTATATCAATACCATCGATCAAGAGAAAGACATTCCGTTTTTTTATACGTTTTTGTTTATTTAGTTGTTTTAAAGTAGGCAATATTCCTGTTTTCAAATAACAATCGATTGTATCTTGTAAATGTTTTTTTACTTCTGGATAGTCCGATAATAAATTGGATAAACTCACAAGTGTTCTATTAATGACAGCTGGTTCTTGAGATGCTTTGGCCGACCATACATTCCAATCAAACTGTCCGGGCAATGTTTGTATAACTGGAAGAAATGTTGTGTTACTTTGTGCATCAGTTATAAATTCTTGCATCATTTGTTCACGTACTCTTTCACCTCCATCAATATCCGCGGAAAATTTTAGCGATGCCAATTCAAATCCCAATGAAATTTGTTCTTTAACAGTATTACTATCATATTTTGAATGAAATTCTTTATCAATAAATGTATACGTAGTAGCCAAAGCACCAACAACAACTCCCGAAACATAATGTGTTCCAAACGATTTTATTACATCATTATATAATGTTTGCTGCTTTTCAGTTGAAACGGTAGAAGCAAGTTTAACTAATTGAAAAATAGTTGCATTGAAAATAGGATCAAATCTTTTAGAAAAGAAAAATTTTTTTATAAAAAAGTATAGGTAATGCATATGTTGCTCTCTTACTTAAGGACATGTGCAGGGGCAAGAGTAATAGAATACATTCCCCACCAACTAACTGATATACCAATTACTGTTGACTTTGAATTAATTGCTTCTTGAGCTTCTTTCAACATGACATGATATCCAAAATTTATCCCTAATATGTTAGTAAAAGGCCATGGCAATCCAACATCAATAGGAAATCCGATTTCAAATTTGTATGATGAGAAATAGCTAAAGAAGAGAAAACCACATCTGAACGAAATCTTCTACTTATAGGTAGGCGGTCAGGCTCACAAGTCAAGGACAGGGACCTGAATAGGTGTCGCACATTGGAGGGGGGGGGGTGTAACGAAAGTTTTTTGTCCGGGATAGTGTAAACTTTATTTTAAATTTCACGTTCGAGGTGGTGTAAACTCTGTTTTTTGCATACGGGTTTGTCCCGCTGCAGCTAGCTGTAACAGCTAAATTTTACTCTTTTAGCCCTCAGCCAATGGAGAAGCGGGCGCTTCTTCAGCAAGTGCAGCTAGCTTATTTCTTATGAAATTTCATGCTTGGCTAATGAGACAATTACCTTTGAATTTTAAGTTAATTTTCCGTGTGTTTTTTATCATACCAATTGATAGTAGTTTATTTTATCGTACCATACATTTTTTTATCAGGGCAATTTTTATTGAGATGAATGTGAATTAACGCGGTATAAGTAGTTACGGTCTGGGACCTTAATTTCTTTTCAGTTCTTTTCGAACTTGAAATATACAGGGTGCGTAAAAATGTTTTTTCAGGGGGTAACGCTATGATTGCGAATAGGGTAAGTAATGAATTTTATACCAGATAAAAGTCCGTCGAAAACGGGATTTATTGATGCTAAATAGTAAGTTTTATCAAAGCATTTTAGTGTCGAACTTAAGAAAGTTTTAGAAATTGTACACTTTTTTGGGGTAGAAAGATAAGACGCCAGTCATTCCA